ATGTTTGATTTTAGTACCTATGTAGGTATCTACAATAAAAGTTTACAAATATCATTTTTTCCCCTGGGCTCGTCTGACTATGTGTCTCCGAATAACACTGAAGCCTATTGGCTTGTTGTGTTTTACCCCATGTTAGTTCATAGCACCCACTCTATCACCTTTGTACCTTGTACAAGTTTGTACAGATCCTTGGGTGAGTGGGTTCTATACTATACGTTGTTGGATCAACCTGGGGTTGTCCAAAAAGAGCCTGCCTTTTGCGATCTAGAGCTTCGCATTCGCACAATATGTGTTTGGCCGTTTCTGGTTTCTTGTGACATAGTCGGCACATGAGTTCCCCATTGTACATGCCAATTTTGTTCAAGTGTCCCTTTACTGGGGCGTGCCCAGTCATGAACCCTGTTATCACTTTCAACTGGTTTCTATTCATTAAGAGTAGTTCTCCAGTTCTTTTGGGACATGGTCTGCCTATGAAGGCTTTTCCATGTGCCTGTTTTGGGGTGCTTCCCCAATAGTTGATATGTTGTTCCCGAATCCAGTCATTTATAAAACCCCGGACTGTACTTTTTGGTACTCCTGGGTTTGTGTCTGGTTCCGGTGTTTCTTCTGACCCTCTTTTTGCAAGTTCGTCAGCCTTTTCGTTGCCTTCGATCCCTTTGTGTTTTACTCTATTTCGGTCTGCCAGTGTTCTTAGTTCTTCGATGCATTCCCATACCAGCCTTGACGTTACAAATATCATTGTCTATTTATTAAAAACCAGTTAAAAAAGTAATTTTAAAAACCCGACTTTAAAATCGTCTAGATGCTCTTAAAAATTAAAATGCATTTATATTCGTTCTAATATATCTGAGGTATTAATACTTATCATTTTAATATTATGTTTGTCCCTTACCTTGATTACGGACTAAGGTCAAGTTGTTTAACTGGAACCTAGAGATAACTGGGCCCTAAACTTCTAATTTTGTAATCCAATATTTTAAACTTCTCGCGCTTTGTAACATGGCTATCATCCCAAAGCTTTCGTTACATCTAGTTTAAGTTCTTGCCGTGAGTATCGTAACGAAAATATTTATGGTAAAGAATTTTTTGGTAGATGAATAACAATGTTGGGCACAAAGTTTTTTATTCTACGTTTTAGTAATGGTAGTTTATTGTATTGCAACAGCTCCGTTTTTCTCTTATAGAGTCTTTGTTGATGGCTTAAGAGTATTATTAAATAAAACCCAATAATTACACACTTTAATTACCTTCTCGCTGTATTTCTTATTACCTAGTGTGTACACACCACTTAACCTCTTCATATATTTTATTGTTTTAATTTATAATCTATCAATTTTTCGCAAAATTCTTTTTTATCTTCCAATTCGGAAATAAAAGTGACCAATTTCGAAATTTCGTTGGCAAGCGTATCATAAAATATAGCCCAAATGTAGAATATAATTGGACCAAATCCAGCTTTAATAGTTTAATCTCTCACTTGCCGGACAAAATTTCGCAGCAATCCTCGTTTCCCAGTGAAATGGATGAGTTTGTCATGTAACTCAAGCTGCTCGGAAAATGTAATACACTCAGGAAATGAACAATGAAAATCATCTACAGGATACGAATGTGTACCCCCGCAGCCTTTTGTGAGGTCGCCCTTATTTTAACAGGCCCTCAAAACTTCTCATAAAGGATGAGCCGAAGGACAATGAAAAAGGATCGCGCATCATCCCGAATCTGTTTAGCCCAAAGTAATATCGAGTTTGGGAACTTTTAACTCTGCGTGTTGGATGATTTTCGTTTTGTACTAACAACAAAGTCTTTTTGTTTTGATTCGTACTTATTGTTCTGAATATCGGTTATTTAAATATATTATTGATTTGTTAAGTAATTTTGAAATTTAGTAAATTTAAGATACTTTTCAATTAAAAAATATGAAGTTTAGTCATTGTAACTTACCAAAAGTTCTAAGAAACTTCCAGAACAGAGTTGCTTAAAATTAAACTATAAATATAAAAATAAAATAACTTTATCAATAAAATTTTGTCTACTATGGTTACATAAGTTCCGGTTGTTCCGGTGACAATCTTTGGGCCTTCGACGTCGCTATGTGTTGGTTAAAGCTTAACACGTTTGCTGCGACTCAGATTTAGAACGAGGGCGTCCAGTGCTATTGTACTTGTTTACATAAATCTGAGGTATTTCTTTCAGAAATTGCTTTTATAACTGTCCTGAAATTAGTTTCTGCAAAAATTAGGGCCAAAAATTTCCATGACATCTAAATAAGTCACGCGCACTGAGCACTATAATGGTAACGTAGTGCTGATGACTTATTTAGATGTCATGTCTCTTTTGGCCCTAATTTTTCCAGTACCTTATTTTATACCAGTTATAAAAGAAATCACTGAATTTGAGAACAAAAAACGAGAAGATCTAACTATATTTCGTTTATTTTTATAAAAAAACATGAATATAATTATATTTTATTTACTCTTGTGAAAATTTTCAAAACAATCCCCAATGCATAGGCATGGTGTTCTCACGCATGCTGGGCAATGGTATGACGTGTTTCGTCTTCTTTTTAGTTGGTTCCAACACCAGATGCACCGCCTCGATATAGCAGTATTCCCCTTAGGCCCTACGGGATTTTTCTTTGGATTGTGTGTATTTTTCTTCGGCGTCATTTGTAGTGCATCTTCTAAAGGGACTAATTGGTCGATTATACTTAGCCGAAAGTCATACATTGAAATTTTTGATTTCGTGAATTTCTTATATAGCATATACGTATTGATTAGAAGCATTTGCAGTACGTGTATACCAAGCTTTTTATATCAGCTAAGTGTTTTTTTGTCACATGGATAATATGAGAGCAGCTAATCTTGCCTATCAACTCCTCCCATATGTTTGGTATAATAAAAGATAGGTTTAGGCTTCTATCCGCGGTCACTTCCTAACCTATCTTGATATGTCAGCATCTCGTTTTCAAATTCCGTAGAAATATATGCCACTTCCCTCTTATCTCGCCATTTACCAATAAGAACTCCATCATCGCTGTATTTGGCGACGGTTTCCCCCTTTTTCAATTTGGCAGTTTTTACTTGAGTTGGAGTGTTCTTGCGGTCCGTCCTCAAAGTCCCTGTGCAGTAAGTCTTTCGGTTTAGTAGCTTTACGTCGAGATCATGGCTGTAGAAATTGTGCATATAAACTGAATGTTCAACATCTACCCGTCCATCCAATAAATGAAGTACATCATTTTCCGCATGACCCTTGCCTCCTAAAGCCTTGGTTTCTTTGAACACTCCATCGCGGTGAGCGGACAGTCCGTCGACAGCTGAGGACAACAATTTTCGCCCGAGGTGGTTTGTTAAAAAATATAGAAAATGATACTCTCTCTATGTCTGTACGTACTGTTTATGTATTATGAATGTAAACGAAAGGTACTAAAATGGTTGCAAATAAATTGTTTGCGTTGTTATTATTGTTGGAAGAGGAAGAACAAGAGGAACTGGCAATTGCAACCGTCAAAGTTTCCAATAAGCCAGTGAATGAGTTGTTTTTCTGTCGCGATACAGAAGGTGCCTTTAATATCACTGTGCAGCGGAGGCTTTTTGGAAATGAAACCAAATTTAGGGAGTATTTTAGACTTTCTACAGATCTTTTTGAATTCGTGTTGAGTTTTATAAAGGACAAAATTTCCAAGAAACCTAAAAATAAAGTCATGATGTCATCTGTATGTGTGAATTTGTCACTCATTGTTTTAAAATTAATAACAATATAGTCTCCGCACACGCCGACGATTCCGCTGATATCAAACTCAACAGATATCAACCGAATCTTCGCGACAAATCAGCGGCATGACGCCGTCCTGTTCAGCTAAGCGGATTCAAGAAAACCATTCCCATTTAAATACTCTGGTTGGATAAAATCGTCGCGACGGTTGACGGACTGTCCGCTCACCGCGACGAAGTGTTCAAAGAAACCAAGGCTTAAGTCGTCCAGCTGACCAGTGTAGACGTCAAAGTTCAAAATTGTGGCATCAGGCTCTGTGAGAACGTAAAATTTTACTCCATACTTATGCCGTTTATTTTTGATATATTGGCGAAATGACAGTCTACCCCTCCACAACACCATGGACTCGTCGAGCGAAATGTCTTTTCCTGGGTAATACACCTCCTTCATTTTTTGATTAAAATAATCTATTATGGGCTTAATTTTAAACAGCCGATCTTTTGGGTTCTGGGCGAAATGCAAACACCTAAAATTAAATTATCGTCGTAAATAATAATATTTTAATAAATAAACTTCAATATTAACCTCATGAAGAGAAGAAATCTATCTCTACTCATATCCGACGGAAAAAAAGGCATACTAAAAAATCTAGAAGTTTTCCAATAATCTTGAATTCTATTCGTCGATATATTGCCCATGTGCAAAAGTACGCCGAAGAATATACGCATTTCTTCTGCAGTAACCTCGCGCCAACGAGTAATCCGCGACTACTCAGATGTTCTTGGTGAAAGAAAAAATTCCTGAGCGTATCTATTTGTTTCTGTAGCTAATAACTTAAAAAAACCATCATCAACCAGCATATTGAAAAAATCTATGGATTCGGTACCTATAAAAATAAACATACACTATAATTTATATTATAATATAATTTGAAAAATTGGAACTTATGATAAAGTATTAGAAATTCAAAATTTTAAAAAACCGACTTCAAAAACGTGCAGATGTCATCACCACATCTTAGCCTAATTTATATGGGACCACCCGTGAGGTACCCCCTTTCTAACAAAAAAAGAATCATTGAAATCGGACTCCGTGTTAAAGAATTATCGCTGAACATACATAAAAAAATATATCGCGACGAATTTAGAACCTCCTCCTTTTTTGAAGTCGGTTAAAAATTATAAAATTATAAAAAACTAAAAAAAAAAATCAAGAATTCACCAACGGGCTCAACCAGAAATTCCTGTTTTTTAGTAAAAGGTAAGTTTTTCATTGTAGGCTTGTCTGACCATTGGGGGGTTGATGGGGCTGCAGGAACTGTAGGTGTTGCAGTAATATTTTTATTTGTTTGTTGCTGGACATCACTATCATCACTATCCTCACTTTTATTTTGAGCGTCCGAATCGCGACGGGGCGGAACATAATCTTCGTCTGAAGACTCCACTCCCGCGTAGTAATCAGCATCCGAATCACCTTCTAGATTCAAATCATCCTCCAATTCATATAACATTTGTTCCAACTCCCGTTCAGATAACAGTTCTGGATCATCTTTTTTTGTAGTAGTTTTGATCCTTTTCGCCTTAGAAGGCCCCGCCTCTTCATCCGCCATCACTATTTTTTTTTATTTTCAAACAAGTACAACCACTATCACGTAAAAAGTAAACTACACTCGAATACTGCAGAGCTACAACAACAACTGGATACCAGTGGACGCTCGAAAATGTATTATTCACTGTTTTACCATCAGCTGGCCCCACGCACTTTACCCCTACATCACAAACTCGATCAATTATTGTTTCTTATTTTTCAATCACTTGCGATCACACTCACGTAAAATGAACTCTATTGCAACACTGCTAACCTTTCTTTATCGCTTGAAAGCATGTTCGGACAAATGACTTATTCATAAGTCACGCGCACATGACAAATATAGCGCATGACTTATTAATGAGTCATGCGCAGCGAAAGTGTTAAAGTGGGATCTAGAATAACTCCAAGATCTTTAATTTGATTAACAGAATCCAAGATATGACCATTTAAGTAATAACCAAAAGTAGTAGTTGGTACATGGGATCGTTAAAAAGCACTTTATGGAATTCAAGTCCATGCCATTTAACGAACACCAGTTTGATAGATTATCAAGGTCATACTGAAGCCAGAGGGTATCATAAATGGTTTTAATAAGTAGGAAAACTTTTATATCATCTGCAGACCATAGTGCTTTGCCATAGTGAAAACAATGAATTATGTAATTTATAAATAATTTAAATAATAAGGGACCAAGGTGTGATCCTTGAGGAACACCTGAGGTAACTTGAAATGAGTTAGAATAGTGATGGTTCACTCTAACCATTTGAGTTCTGTTCGTAAGATAACTACTAATCCATTGAAGTACGACCCCATTTATGCCATATTTATTAAGCGTTTAAAGTAAGAGAGAATGGTTGACCCTGTCAAAACCCTTACAAAAGTCAGTGTACACAAAATCAATCTGGCAACGTTTCTTCAAAGCTTCCGACAGAAAGTATCTAAGCAGGAAGTCGACGTAGGTAACTAGATTTAATTTAGCACAAAAACCATATTGATGATCAGTTATGATGCCAGAGCAGTCATAGGTAACGAGTCTGTTATAATATTTTTAAAAACCTTAGTAATCGAATTAAATTACGGGTTTTGAGCTTACATTAAATTGAAATTAGATGAAACAAAATGGATTCTATGTATTTTGAGGTAATCTTTTCGAAAAAAGGCAAAACAAAATGTAGCTGTTTTTCGAAAGTGGCGAAATTTTGGATTTTGTCAATTTTTAAATTTTGCGCAGGCGCATGTCGGAAATAAACCAATATTTTCAGAACGCAGTTTACGACATTTGAAAGCTTAGAAAAATGCTAATTTTCATGTCTCTCGAGAAATTTTGATCCGATGCACCGTTCTCGCGGTATGGATGATTGAAATTTGCTTAGTATTTTGAGGTGGCGAAGGTCGAAAAATTGAATTTGTTAAATATTCAATCACTAAATTCTTCATAACTTTGGTAAAAATTAAGATATTTAATTTTTTTATTGACACTTACAAAGCTTACTCTTGAATATGAAATCTTATACGTGTGTGAATTTCACCGAAATCGGATTATAATTGGCCAAGATATCAAACAATTAAACAAATTTTTTTTCCTAAAAAAAACCTTGAAAGTTTGAAGTGGCACAAAAATGCCAAAAATGCACCCAATGGCTCAAAACATTTTTTTTTTAGTACTTTCTTGTGTCTAGAATACGATTACGTTAAGGAAAATTCTGCACAATAATTTTATCTATTTTTTTGACCACTGTTCATTGAGTGACGACCAAAAAACACGGTTTTTGAGAAAAGTTGCTTAAAATTGACGATTTTCAGTTTTTTATCTGAAAATTGATCAAACCCAAATTTCATGTCTTCTGAATGCGTATACGAAGTTTAAAGTGTGTATGTTTCTTCTAAGTTGTAGAATTCTCGAGACAAAAGTCCCATTACACGCACTCCGCGGGATCCAAAACTCGTGTATACACTGCATTTCTGTAATTTGATTTTTTTGTGATTTCCAGTTTTAAATTTCTTACATACTTAAATTTATTAGGCCGAAAATTTATTAAATTTTATTTTACTGACTTGTTATAAGACGTTTTATGAGTTTTGTGCAAAAAAATAGAATTACCGCAAAATTAGCCGCACGTCGTATCAAGGATAGCCATGGTCTCGGCGTTCGCTATCCGATAAGTTTAAACTTCAAACGGTCATATTATTACAAATTGAATCGTTTGATAGTGTTCATCGGCATACATTTTTAATAACCCTGTTCAGCAAGCTCTGTGTACACGTGGTTTTTCGGACTTCTTCAGCAATTTATTGAGTAAGTACGTTCCTAAATTAAGAAAATTCTATCACAGTGCTATAATTTTTTTGTTTCCAGGTTGCAATGGCTGGCCTGTGTTTATTATGTCATCAGACACTTGCAGAGGGTGAACTTACCCCAATTAGACCGACAGGATTGAAAGGTCTGTAGACGGTCAGCAAAGAAAGGGGAGATGATTTTTTTAGTTCTTTAGAACCAGGTTTTATATTGTATGAAAGGTGTCGCAAACATTACGTAGCTCGACGTTACGAAAAAAGTTTATTTATAAAACCTGGGATAGTCATAAAAGGGCCGCGATTGACAATGCCAAAAAAATGAGGATGTAGCATCAACCGAGAAGAAAACCAGATGTTAGAGAACAAAAACAAGCTTATCACCAAGCTGGAACTTACACTCAGGCTTTCCTAACATTTTTAAAGTATACCTTTTTGTGTATTTTTTGTGCTCTGTCCGATGGCGCAGTTAGTTTTTTCAAATATATTTTTTGTTAGATGTTTTCGGAAAACCCGGAGAAAATTATATGGGAAGAAAATTAAAAAAACTACGCCTTCCGGTTTCCTGCGAATTCCCGAAAAATTATGGCAGATTTCGCCGCGGGACTTATTTTATTTGAGAGCCAACAAAAAAATACGCAACTTCTCTCATGGGCACATATGTCTAACATTAATAATTTCGCCACAAATTCATTGCAAATTTAATGTTCATGGTTCTGATCAAAGAAACGAAAAAACTTTTTGGTAGAAGCACTTCTGGCGGCGAGAAATTCGCCATTAAAATTACCTGTACAATGAATTTCCGAACTATTTTTGCGTCCTCTTTCGATTGGTGCATTTATTTTTACTATCAGAATGATACTTGCCCAGATAATTAGCATTTTTACCATGGAAAATTCCGGAAAACCCGGGTTTTCCTAATTTAAAAAAAATTTAAAAACAGCTACATCTTTTTTTCCTTTTTTTCGGAAAGATCACATCTAAATACACAAGGTCCACTTTGTTTCATCCAATTACAAATTAATGAAAGCTCAAAGGGGCTTTTTTCGTTATTTAATTGGACTATAGATATAGTACTGAGAATAGATGTAGGTTGGTAATTTTTGACGTCTGACTTGCAACCTGATTTGTATATTGGGGTGACATAAGATAGATTCCAATAATGTGGAAACTCACCCGTGGCGATAGATTTATTGAAAATATAGAAGAGAGGGCGAGACAATACCAAGCTAAGTAGGCTAATTTTGTAAAGACGGGCGCAGGGAAGCGCCCTAAAATGTGAACTAATTCGTTTTTTTTTATAAAATATCTCGGAAACCAGTCCAATTTTTTTAGTTTTTAAGAAATCCATAGATGGGCTTCAAAATATACTTATTTTTCCCATTTAAACAACTTTTTGTCACTAACAGCTTACGAAAGAGCAACAGATTTTATTTAAAAGCTGGCTACCTTAATTACGAACCAAAATATGTACGTAAATTTGAATAGCTTCTACCAAACTTTATATAATTTAATAACAATGCAACTTTAGGTATAATAACACAAATTGGCAATTTCGCTTAAACTATTTTATGCTTTTCACCTCTAATTATTTTAAATTATTTCAACCGAACTTCAGACATTTCATTAGTCCCTTATCTGGCAGTTGGACAAACGCGGTGGTAGCGTCAGACTGTTTCAAGGTAATTTTGTAATTGCAAATTCCAGCGAAATATCAGGACAACTTTCAGGGAGTAACTATTGAATCATCTCGATGTTGGGGACAGGGTCGTCGTTAAAGTGTTGAGAGAGGTAATAGTTAATATTACCCAACTGGTTGGCAGACATACAATTCAAACTGAATAAATTACATGTCTGAACTTTTACTCCCTTATTTGGAGTAATTCCTATGGTAATAATGTATTTTGCCCTGAGATTATCTCATTAATTAGTTAATTTGGTAAATTGAATATCGAACTTTTTGCATAAGTTGCTATAAAAACGTAAAATGAGCATATTGTAAATTAACTATGATCAAAGATAGTCTTCGACTAAATTTTTGGCAGTTGCTTTTATAAAGCAAATTTTGAGATAAATTATTAAGAAAATTATGTAGAAACAGCAAATAATAAATACAAATTTATTGGTTTTTCTTTCACTGATGAAAATGCATCGTGTGCTTATTTTTTTAAAATGTTAAAATTTTGAAAAAAGAAAATAACTATTCTAAAGAACTATTCTTAGAAATGACTTGTATTAACAGTTCCTCAAACTGCTTAAACAAAAAAGCTGACATAAAGAACTCAAGTAATGTTTATAGCTACTTGCTCACTTCCGAGGAAAAATTTTATCAAAAAAACTTTTCTTTTAAAGCTCAAATTAAGTAAAATTTTGATTTCCGTTTGTTCTCACATGCATCAATTCTCTTAAAGTTTGTGTTTATTATTATTATTATTTTTTACTGTTGCTTTCATTTTCCCAAAAATAAATTTTCTTCATTTATCTACATCAAGTTTAAATAATAACGTAAAAATTTTGGTTCCCTTTTCTTCTTTTTTTTTTCTCACCCCGAAATATAACTAAGCTATTTAAGGTGGTAACACTATCATTAATATAGTTGGAATCTTGTCTGTCATCTAGCAATTTCAAAATTTGTCCTTGAGAGACAGATCCCGTTTGAAAATTTCAGGCATACTATCTCATACAATGGCAACGAATCATTCTAATGTTACACCTGAAACTCAAAGT